AAAGAGCCAAACACAGAAAAAAAAAAGAAAAATATCCACCATTAATCTTGCACAGTGGCCATCTTAAATAACAACAGATAGTCATTAGGACTGCAAGAGATTCAGCCATCCTTCTTTTGCTTTAAATCCAACTCCCAAAAAAAAACCCCAATAAACAGGAGGAGATGAAGCAAATTGCTTTTGAAGCAAATTAAAAATGACAAAGTAACTTTTGTTATAATGATGGTGCCTCCTGGTATAAGCTCTGATGACATTATTTTGAAATTGCTTAAGCCTGATTTTTGCTTTTGCATAACAATCAATATCTAGTATGAAGACGTGTAAAGAAAACCTTTACAAGCCAAAGTGTTGCACGAAAACCCTCTAACTGTAAGTGGTGCAGCTGTTGCCCATTTCCTCAGCCTGAGATGGAATCACTTTTGTCAAGACGCCTGGGTTAATTCAGAGCAGGCAGATTTAAAGGGAAGCGTGGTAACCAATCCCAAAGCATGTCACCCATTCCAAACACCCTGTATATATCAAAACATAAATAGATAAATACATACAGTGCTCATCAATTATTCAGTGCCACTTCATGTTTATGCAAATTGCAGAAAAACGGGGCATGTATGCAAAGGGTTATTCTTTATTTTTTAATGCTGGCAATCCCATCCAAGCAGAATACCGCCAAATCTCAACAACAGCCCTGAATCTCGGCACAGAAAGGAAAAAAAACCCAAACAATGTTGCTGCTGAAATATTCATTGTGGAGAGAAAAAAGAAATACTTACCTGTTTCAATGTTTTCTTTGATTCTGGTTTATGCAGGTTTATAGAGGAGATGATAACACGACACACAGGAAATAAAACTGTAGTGCCATGGTGATATGCAAATTAATGACTCCCGCTGAATGCAAGGACCATTTATTATTCATAAATTACTCATGTTTATGCAAATTGGGATATAAGGACCTGAGGGGGGGGCAGCCAGGCTGAGCATGTCTCTTGGTGGTACAGCAAACATTTCATTGCCTTTTTACCTTCTTTTTCTCAGAATTTCGACTCCATGATTAATATTTGCCATCTTGCTTTTATATAAGACTGTTCTGAAAATTCTATGAATACAAGCTGATGTTTTTTCAGGACATATGAGGTCAGAATCAATTTTTAATCACAATTTGATTTTTACCATAAAACAGGGTGTCAAACAGAATTCAGTGCAGTACCGGGTGGAAAAAAAGACCATTAAAGGAGAATCTAGCAGATGATGCGATTTCAAGGCTACAACGCCATTTGAAAGGAGTTGCGTTATTTTTTAAACCAGCGTGATAAAATATATGACCACAGTCATCTTCGAGAGAGGGATACATGACAAAATGTATCAAATATTTAACCAAATCATAATTCTCTGCCAAACAAAAGAGACAGATAGCAGGTCTATACATGCCTGATTGTGTTGGCCTGTACAGAGCTGGCTGTGTGAGGGAGAAATTGACTTCTGCTATTGCTGTTTCCCGTACATAAATTATAAAAATACAGATTGGTTGCAATGGTGGCAGATAGTTATGTTTCATAGCAAACGCTAAAAGATGAGGCCACCATGTTCTTAAAAGAGAAAGCCTTAGAGGAATCAGGCCACTTACAAAATGGTCACTGGTATTGCAAGCAATTGCCTTAAACTGCAGGCTTAAAAGGCTCAATGAAAATTTGCATTTTCCTCATGGACAGAAATGAAATCCTTCCATGCAGTGCACAGTTATTTTTTTTTATTTGGCTTCATTTTATGCCTTTTTTATCTATCATTAGGAAGTTTCTGAAATACTGTAATACCTTCAAAACATAGTGAAGCAAATGTAATAATACTGTACATACACACGAAATTTAATATGATGTACACGTTTCAAGTTATTAAAATAGTAAAACATAGAACATACTTGATTTACTATAATTTAGATTTGTTCTATGCAGTATATCAATATTATTGTTCATATAGGTTGGAGTAATGGCTCAAAATGATAAAAAAAACATGTCTGGATTTGTGTTTTTTAGACGGAAAGTTGGCAGACTATGTCTTCCACTGCTGTGTGACTGTGTGCTGCTTGAGAAAATAAATAACTTCAAATGAGTTGCTCCTTTCCCTGCACTGCCAAAGGTTATGAGTGTCAGTAGGCGTCCTCCCAATTTACACTTCTTTACCAAACAGCAGCTTCTGCGTTGGCCCCGAGAGGAGTTGGCAGAATGGCCTCGTTGAGTCTCATGACTAAAGTCCTGCAAATTGTCGAGGAGCCAGCTTGTCCACAAACAGCACTTTCCTCTTTGTTTCTAAGCGAAACCAGAACACATTGTTTTATTTGACCTCGCGTCCTCCCCATCTCCCTGTCTCTCTGTTTCTGAGTCAGCCAATGAGGGGTAGACTCCCAGCACTGCCAGCCTCCTCCTGCTCAGGCTGAGAAGGCACTCATTACATCTGCCTGTCAGCCTCCCAATCAAAGACCCATTGGATGCAGAGGGACTGTTTTTCTGGCTTGGCAGTAATTACAGTAGGAGCACATCATCATTAAAATGGGATTTCTTATCCCTGCTGCTGCTCATTGTGGCTTTTATGCTGGAGAGTAAACTGACAACAAAAGCAGACGCCTTGAACACTCACACACCTCGCAGACGTGTGCTTTCCACACCTCTCCCGGGCGGCGATGACAGTCCCTGCCTTTGCCACAATCTGCCATGAATCAACCCCTCTGCCAGAAAGCAAGAGACTACAGTGCTTCAAACCAGATAATACTTCAAAGTCCAAAAAGACGCACTGGGGACCCTTTGGAGAAAATACAGAGATATTTAGATCACATTAAAAATGTACAGCTCCAAAATGTATCCAGCTTAAAAATGAAAGAATGTGAATCTTGAAATATACGTGTGGACAAGCTGAGGAAAAAAAAACGTAATTGGCATGGATAAAAAAAAACCCTGTGAATTGCAGATAATTTCTTCCCCTTGTTAGAAGTCAGTAGAAGCTTTAATAGCTTAAAAAAAGAAGTGCTTTATTCACAAAATATTTTCAAATCATAAGTTCTAATGTACTTAAATCATGAATTTTGGACTCTTTGATTACGCTGTTTCTGTAGAGTCTGTATATAAATTATGAAACATAAATTATATGATGCCATATACTTGCAGCCTAAATCAATGAAATGTCAATATATGTGTATATCTTACTTATGAAACTGATTGGGGGACCATTTGCACAATGCAATTAGAAAAAGTATGAAATACAAATAATTCATACAAATGATTTTGTCCTATTCTAAAAAAGTGGCAGAGTGTAACTGAGTATTTAGTGCTCCAAATACAGCCACAATTTAGCTAGAAGGGCTCGCTGGTACAGTATGTCCATTTGCTTTGTGTACAAAGTTGATCAGAACAAAAGGAAGCACTTCACGAAAAACTGGTTTGTGAATAAGTTCATGAAGTTACATGGAAAACTGCTGCGGTGATCAGGGGAATTGTTGCTGTTTATTTTGGAAATGTACTATTTTGATCAGTAATTACAGCATTAACCTGAACTAATTTCATGTTCTTATGTGTGTGACCTGAAGTTTGTGATCACCCTAAATGACCAACCAAGTTCAAGTAATCGCCTGGGCCTTTGGACTAGGGTTTTGTTCACATTTTGGTGAATTAAAGTGGCACACGTGGCACTTTGAAGCAACAGTTAATATTTGTTAAATTCCAACAAATTCTAAACATCCAACATTAAAACATTTACATAATTAATATGAAAGAAAAATGACACTATCGCATAGTATCAATCATAGAAGTACTCAAACCCTTTATTGTGGTAAACCCAAATTATTTCAGGTAAACAAAATTAGCTTAGTGAGGTACACAATTTGTTGAGTGGCCTCTGTCTGGGTTCAAAAATAGTGCTTCACAGGGTTATTCCTCTCTGAGCATGAAGAGCATTCAGAACAGCTCATAAACACCAACATGTACAAAGGTAAAGATTAGGAGAGGGGTAAAAAAAAACATTTCAAATGACTCTTTTGAGGATTCAGATTGCACAAAACAAATCAATAAACACAAGGCAGGATGCACTTTGGTCGGGACATCAGTCCCTCAGTGGGCCCACTGGCACAAAGACACACACTCACACCAGGGCCTGTTTTCCCAGATGCATATTAACCTACCAGTATGCTTTTGGACCCACGCGAACAAGCAGAGAACATACAAACTCCACACAGACAGCACCCCAGGGCCCCAGTGCAGAGAGGCAGCGATGCCACCCCCTATTAAGTTTAAAACATTTCGTTGGATCATTTTGTAATTTCACAAAATTGGACAGCACAGTACAGGTCAGGAGTATGCTCTGTATATTGAGAATAACTGAATTGGTATGTGGAACTATGATACCCTGCAGTGCAGTGTCAACAACCTTAAAATATATGGTTTTGCACTAATACTACAGTCTAGATAAAATGCATGAAATGGAAATTATGTCTAATAATATACTGAGTTTTAACTGTATATTTCACTCTTCATCACATGCTGTTGTAATCTCCATTTCGCATTTCATAAGGCTATAACAGAGTGGGACATGCATCTTCTCTAGCTCATTTGGTTTTCAGCAGCTAACCGACTGAAAAGTTCACCCGTTTCTTTACAGAAGCCAGGGTATCAGCTTTGATAACGGGGCTGGACAGCTTGTTCCAGATCCCTACAACCCTTTGTGTAGGAATCGCCACCTATTCGTTGTTCAACACTAAACTTTCCACCCCGGCCACTATCTCCATAACCAGGAAATCTCCATATCTAGGTAAAACTAAGCAAAGTAGCAGATAAGTAACATTACAATAATGTTAACTCTCCGGATATGTTCATATAAAATCTGTAACATGATTAAAAAAAACATTAGAACCCATTCTTCAGTATAAACAACGTAAGATAAACAGTATTTTGTAGCGCAGATGGGTGTGCGGCTGTACTCGGATTTCTACGGTACTACTGAATACGTCATCATAACTGGAAGGACCCAAACGTTGCCTGTAGTTGTGCCTGACGAGTTAGTGGGAGTTTTTCTTAGGTTTGATGTAGTTTAGTTGCTGAGTTTTTTATACTAGAAACATTATACTGATATTTTTGTTAGTTAAAAAAGGAAGCGCAAATCAAAGTTCACGTCGCCATTGATACAATTATAAAAGGTAAACGCTTTTGGATTTTTAACTATAGCTGCGAAAGCAAAGTAGACAAAAGATTCTCGTCTTCGGAAATTAATGCACTGTGGTGTTTTTCCTAAAATGAATTCCACGCATGATAGTTTTAATAAGGCTTATTGTTATTAAAATTTAAGGTTTTAAGCGATGCATATGGAAAATGTAGTACTAACATCGCAGTGATCCAGTACGTAGGACATGATACTTTGTTGAATTAATATTTATATATAATGCAATGATACGCATTAATTTGTACAGCAGAACTGATAACATTGAATAGTTGTCCTGTTGGGGCTTTTTGTTTTGAAGGTCTTTTTTGACATGCCTTCAATCTAGGCATTGAAATATTTCTAGAGTTCTGTACTCTTGCTATTTGGTGAGAAGCGGTCAATAAGCTTTATGTTTTTATTGGTCTGCAAGGGCAACGAGGAAGAACACATCAGTTAAAATGTTAACGGACTTTACTTATAGTTCTCAGTTTAAGTAAATTAAAAGGAATACGACACGCCATTATTTCCTTAACGACGTACTGTGGTGATGAACAACGCACCTTCTCAAGTTTAAATCCGTGATTGTCTGCCTTTAGCTACTCCTTTACAAAGTTGGAGTCAAAAATTGTTCTGCCGTTTGTTTCTCGATCTCCATCGTACCCGTTGCCTACTGTGTTTATATACCTTATAGGAAATGTATCACAACAGCTCTCAGAAAAAGTACTGGACTTTCCAGAATGAAGAAGCGATGGACAAGCTGAGATATCAAGCCAATAAGAAATTCGTATCAAAGGTCACAGCGAGTGGAAAGGTAAAAATGCATTATGAATGACAAATGTGTATTAAATGAATCTGATTATATCGTTGAAATAAACTCACCAACACCTGTGGCAGCTCTTAATTTAGTATCTTTGTAGAGCATTGTATGGCACCATTAAGTCCCAGCTGTTTAAAGAGCTTGTAAGGAACAAACAGGTTAATTCAAAGTATTGGCTTTAATAACCGTAGCTTGTTCTATACTCCCACAGTCTATGGAACTAACGAAGGTAAAGAAGTTCCTACTGTTTTTGGTGTAAATGCGCTTCCACGTTTTCTCCCTGCTTTGTGGTTCACCATTCATTCTGAAGACATCTGCTGAGTTGAACTTGTCAATGTCTTTGAGGGTTTTCAATACTTGCCATTGCAATGACTTGTAATTATCTTCGTCCAAGAGCAAAGTACTTTCCTCATGTTTGCTCTAGTTATGACCAGCTGCAGGTGGTCGCTGACATTGATCTTTATGTCCTCAGAGAAATGCCCCTCTCTCCACATGGTGCAGCTTGAGTCCTGTCGTGTCCCAAAGTCTCAGTACCATGAGTCCTACATTGGGTGTTTAAGACTCAATATGATACCACAATATGATGAAAATATAAAGAACGTGCCTGCTGTGCTCAGTAAAGCTTTTCTTTTTATTTAATTCATCTTAAAGACGTCAGTTAAGCCTGCACAAGATAGCCAATGTGTGCCTGTGTTCAGGTCAGAATAGATCCTCGCAGGTTGATTCAGTTTTCCTCTGCATAAGTGGAACAACCTGCAGAACAAGCTGAAACTACAAACCACAACCGTCTAGGTTGTATGATTTAATGTTTTCTGCCCGATATTTGCACTTCTTAACACAGATTTGACCTGTCAGTAATCATTGAGTATTTTCTTTTTCTGCGATGCGATAAGCTTGTTTTTTAGGTTATTATGAATTAGAATTTGTTCTCAGCTGCATTAGCTGGTTAAATAAAGGCCTGTTGCTGTCTTGGGTGAAGATGAAGCTGCAGGTACCTGCAGAACAATGTCATTGTGGTTTGCTTGAAGAATGTACTTCATTGATGCTGAAAGCACAGCATGTGTGGATTTAGGTTCTATGTAATGGCAAATTGATTTGCATTACACGGTGTCTTTCTAAATCTGTGTTCTGTTTTGTCTGTAGGCTGGAATAAATGAATCCTTATTTCTGGATCCCAGGGAGGAAGATGTGATATTTAAGCATTATGAGAAGAGGCTTCTGGACTTCTGTGCATTTTTTAAGCCAGCAATGCCAAAATCTGTTGTGGTAATTCCTACATATTCCAAACTTCCATGTAATATACTGTAGTACTTCAGCTAACAGTAGCCGCAGTACAGGGCTGAATTATTGTATTGAAGTACAGCTGCAGTGAAGTTATTTAAAAAAAACATATAGGGTTAGAATGTTATATTAAAATGGTGTTGCAGCCCAGCAAGTAGCTTGTTTTAAAGTTTCAGATTTTGTTCATTACCTTTACAAAATTAATATTTAAGGTGTGATATAAATTAGCAATGCAGCGGTGACTAAAGATTTTCATCTATAACATCTTAATAACAGTGTCTGTCGGGAAAGTTTTTTAATAATTGCTTTCGTTTTTTGTACTTAGGGCACAGCAAGTATGTATTTCAGGAGATTTTACTTGAATAATTCAGTAATGGAGTACCATCCACGGATAATCATGTGAGTACTTTGGATTTGTCCTTCTATAGTATTGTTCAACAATTTGTAATAATTTGTAATAAGTAGATATCACATCAACTGTAAACTGCATTGTTTCGTATATTTAAATTAGATATGAAAGTCTCACGCTTAAAGATGATGAAAAACTTTTTCACAAGAAAAAAAATAAAGAAAAATCATTAAGGGTAACTGCAATGCTGTTTTCATATTTCAGGGTTAGAAACGATCAGCACTGACGAGTGCATTTCAAAGCAGAATAAAGTCAATGTGCACAGTAACTTGTAAAACTTCCAATTTACGTAATTAAGTAGACAACATGTCCAGGTCTGCACAGCGCCATGTCCTGCCATTCAGAACGAGGCAGCAAAACGCCCTGTGATGTGAGCGGCCCTGTGACATTGTTTACAAGCAGGCTTGTGAATGCATCTCTTTTAATCCAGTAGAAATATTGATTTCAATTTTGGGATGGTTTTGCCAACAAATACTACTTGTTAACTCGCCACGTTGGAACATTTCTGCAGTGAAATGTCAGCTGCACAACCTGTATTTATTCACTCGTACATCACATTGCATTAATCGTTACGGTGACTAGTGAGCAGGAAGGGCTGCATCTCGTCGCAATTCATGGGAACTCGAATGCGAGTTTGCGACTGCATGGTGACTTACAGTATTTTCCCAAAGTTTACCATTTTGTGCTTAATTCAAAAATTGTAAATGTTTTCCGTAACGTCAATGAATTTATTTTGTTACTGGGTTTTGATAACCGGTCCAAGAAATTGGGACTGCAGTTCCCTTTAATCTAGCTTGTTTGGTAGTTAGTTGCTAATTAATCGGATGATCTCACACAGCCGTTTCTTGAAAGAAGCTAGGATTTGGGCTTCACAACATGAATGGGTAGCATGTTCCATACTCACTTAATACTTTGAGTAAAGGATTGCCTCCCACCATTCCAACAACAGTAAGGGATACACAGAGTATATTATATATAATATCCTTTTTTAACTTTGCTTGTAATTCATTGTAGTCCTTTTCTTTAACTGGATCCTGCTGTTTCTTAATTTGATAAAACACTTTTCTTTTCCTTGTATTTATCTTAATGGGTTTGTTAAATTATTTGTGATAGTGTTGTAACCTCATTTTGGAGCGTCATGCAGAATCTGTTTAAAATGTTCCCATCCCTTTTCTGCGGGTTTCATATCTATCTGATCCCATTTTACTTCTCTTAAACTTTTGTTCTTTCAAAGTCTGCTTTATAAAAATTGTAAACTTTTACCGTGGATGCAATCGGTACAGTTTCATACAGTTCAAAGCACACCATATTATGATCTCGGGTCCCTGATGGTTCTCTTATCTCTGTTTTGCTGCACTCTTGGTTGTTTGAAAAGACCAGATCTGTACAGTAGGTACTCCAACAAACGGGATAAGAAAGGAGCCATTATCCATGTCTATCATTTCAGTTCCTCCCACTGACATTCCTGTAAGTCTTTCCTGGTCTGCTGGGAAAGTGACTGTATATGTGTACATCTAGAGTGTCCTATTCTGTGCTTAAAATAAACGCTTTGGACTCGGGTAACACAAGTTTTAGCTTAAAATGGTGGGAAAGATGATAAGGTCTCAACACCATTCTTTATTCCTATGTGTGCAGTGCGTGTCTCAGTGATCTTTTGCATTTTGTACGCCCAGGCTAACCTGTGTGTACCTGGCTTGCAAAGTGGATGAGTTCAACGTCTCAAGTTCCCAGTTCGTTGGCAATCTCCGGGAAAACGCTGCAGGCCAGGAGAAGGCACTGGAACAGATCCTGGAATATGAGCTGCTGCTCATTCGGCAGCTAAATTTTCATCTTGTTGTCCACAATCCTTACAGACCCTTGGAAGGTTTTCTGATTGATATAAAGGTAAGGCAAAAATCTAACGAAATTATATCAATCATATTGATATTGTTCAGCAAATTGTATTAATTGTGTTAAATTGTATTAATTCTATTGTATTCACTTAAGCAATAATCAACACTTTTAACAGTGGGTTAGAGGACAAATTCATAATTCTTTTCAGCCACACTTTCAGCCCATACCCCATGGGGGAGTAAACGCAGATGTGAATTCAGAACAAATTGGATCCATACACAAGCTTTACCCAGAGGTACACAATGTACAGTCTGTCGGTCAAAGGAAAACAACCTGCCTGCACCAGCTACCTAAAACCTTTAATCAAAATGCCTCTTGGAGCAAGGAAAGCAAGTCTGCATACAACCTGTAATTAATGATGCTTAAAACATTCCCCATGCGTGCAGGGCAGGTGGTTTGAAGGGTGTAATGTTTTGTCGTTTTGGTTTTTCCAGACAAGATACCCAGCCATAGAAAACCCAGAGGTTTTCAGGAAGGCAGCCGATGACTTTCTGAACCGAGCCACTTTGACAGACGCTGGCCTGCTGTTTCCTCCATCACAGATGGCCCTGACAGCTGTTATGAATAGCGCTTCCCGGGCTGACCTGAATATGGAGAGGTTGTTCCATTAGTCTGAGCTCTGACTATTGGCCGAGGGCACTGCGCGTCATGCAGTTACTTACATTATGAGTGTTCGCTGACAAGGCCTGTTGCCTGGGGTCAAACAGAAACGGCGCTAAGTTTCTTTCTAAATTCTTTTAAAATATTTTTTAAAAAGTTACAGGCATGTGGGATATAGGTTTTACAGCTGCGGTTGTCTAGCACTTAGTGGGAAAATCTGTGGGAGATCCTTTACGTCATGAAGAGTAGCACTTTCTTCTTCCTCTCCCTAATTTTTATGATCTCACTTCAACTCCAGTTGGAATCAGAAATGGGCAGGATAAACAAGTTCCTGGTAACAAATTTAGTAGGTTGTGAATTTATATTTTTAGATATATTTAAAATATGGAAGTGTTCAGTTTTAGCCTCTCTCTCACAGGTAGGTAAGCTCTCTTCTATACAGCTGCTGTGCTCCTGGAGTCACATGAGTCTTCAGCTTCACCTCAGATTCGCATTTTCTTCATAGACACTGGGCACAGCAGCAAATTTAAAAACAGCAGAACACAAAACAACTCAAGGGATAAATGGGAAAATGTGGTACATGCAGTTGTGGCATGTCTCTGCTAAGTGAAGTTAAATGTAAGTGCTGATGCCGAAGTTCTGTGTGTGTGTGTAGGCAGGCTGTAAAAACAGAAAATCAGCTGGGGTCAATTTAAAGGGCGGCATCTGTAAATTCTCTGTGGCAAAACACATTCTGAAAGAAATTTTCGTTTCAGCCACGTTTTCTGTGAAATTGGACAAACCATTGTAATGTAAGGAGTCACAGTGCAGTTCAGTGAAGATTTGACAGAGGTTTATCTCGTCACACAGAGAGCTCCCAGAGATCAGACTGGCAGAGGGATTTTCTCCCTATGCGACCTTCATATGATTGTCCACAAACATCCTTTTAGATTAAATAAAAATCCTCTCTATGTAGCCTACATGGTATTGGAGAAGCACATGTTTTAGTATCAATAGATTTACAGTTAACCTCTGATCCTTCCTGCAGACTTCCCTATATATGAGACGACAGTCTGCTTGTTCAGCCTGGCTGTCAGATTCTCAGTGGCAACAACAGGTGTCTGTACAGCATCTCTTTCACACAAGAAAATCCTGCACATGGAGCAAATCTTACAAGTAGAGACATCCGCTAGAAATTATCCAGTCAGATAGTTACTGTGCTTTGTGGTATAGTTGGTATGACAGAGGCCTTTGACATTCATGCCATGCTCATGAAATGTTCATTCATACAATTTAATCTTGCAGGAAATGTCGATGGGTATGATTTAATACTTCTGCAGGTATAGATCATTCATATTTAACCCTTCTCCTTTCAGTTATCTTTCTGAATGTATGGGATTAAAGGATGACAAGGAAAAACGTTTGCAGCTGATAGATTCAATGAGACGTAAGTAAGCCTAAAGAGTAATAACGCAAGAATTATGATAGGTCATAAACCCTAGGATTTAAAGGAACTTTATAGTCTTTTCCCTCTTATGTTTGTTTTTATATGGTATTGTTAAATGTAAGATACAACTCTGATATCTGTCTTTATCTCTGCCAGATATCTGGCAGAGATCTGTTGTTCTTTGGCAGCCCATCACCTTATTTTTTAGTTTCGCATGGAAAGACTGGAATATACAGGGTTTCCTCTGTGGAAATTAAACTCATTGTGGTTTCTCTGTGATTTCAAAACATTTAGCTCCTATGTCACTTTTACCACTAGAGGGCAACATTTAATACAGTCAAGACTTTGACTTTCACATTAAGAGGTTTTAAATATTATTATTATTATTATTATATTTATAATAATTATAAATATTACACCTGAAGAAGGCTCCATGGCCGAAACGTTGTGTTCTCTTTCTTCTTTTTTTTCAGCATGGAATAAACCTATTACTTGTTCCTTTGCAGCCTACGCATGCTGACGCAGCTACCCACCTGAAATATTATTATTGTTGAAATAAGGCATAATCTCCTTAAGCATGGACAGTTCAGCCCCCATCAGTAAAATTGGAGCTATATTATGGAAGTTTAACTCTGTGTCATATATCAATTTTGTTAAAATAGCCTTATAAATGGAAATTCTATTGATATTTAAATCTTCAGCTACAGCTTTTTTCAATTTATGTTCTGTGTGATTAATGTGGTTTGATTTTTTTTTACTTTTTTTTTTACTTATATCAAATAACCCAGCCCCCCTTGTGACAAACCTCTTTGTGATAAATGAATAGTCAGGCTTTGTTGACAACTTAGAATCTTTAAATTTGCAAGTTGTTTTTCTCTGTTAAAAGGTATTAAAAACCTGGTAAAGAAATATGAACCCCCCAAAACAGAAGAGGTCAATGTTCTTAAGCAGAAGCTAGAGAAGATCCATGCTGAATTTGTAATGAGCACAAACTCGTAAGTATATTGACTTATGTGTTTCTTCTTTTTCTGGTCATGAGGGGGCATATCTCAGTAGCTGATATGTAGGCCTGTGTTCCTTTTACACACATGCAAAGTGATTTGACACATCTCAGATTTACTCAAACCCCTGTTGCAATTTGAAACCTGATAGCTCTACATATTGGATAATGTGTCCTGTTGAAAACAAATCAAGATGTTTTCTCAATAGCTTTGCACAGAGCAAAGTCATTTTTCACAGTGTTTTATGAAGGCTTATTTGCACCACAGTCATTAGTATTGCGTAACGTTCTGACGATGGCTCTGATCATATTGACAAGATGCCTGCTGTAGTGTGCTGTGAATTTCTGATATTTCTACAGGAGGATTTGTCACCATTCCTCCAGACAACTGTTCTGGTTACAAGTGTGATTCAGATACACTTGTCTCCTGTCGATTTGCGGTTTGCCCTTGGATGTGGCTTCTTCTTGCAAAAGGTGTTAAAATGAAGTTGCTGTCATTCCATTCAAAGAAACCAGAAACCGGTTGCAGAACAATAAGCATCTGTTGCTTTTTTGGTTCTCAGAAAAAAAAGAAAAGGATATGAAGAGGATGGCCATGTGGGAAAAGAAAAACATGTTGAAGAGGTAAGTGCTGAATTACTCAAACAGCACCCAAACTGCTGTTACTGCGTGCACCGCAGTTACCTGCTCCTTCATAAATATCTAGAGCACGTGCCCTTTTATCGATATTTAAAAAAAATATTAAAAGACAGTGTTGGTTGCTGCATTTTGTAAAAGCAGATGTCTGAAAACCCTGATTTCCCCATTAAGCAAGATTTCCTTATTGCTTAATGAGCCGTGGTGACTGCGGTCTTTAACCACAGTGCTGTGTACATGATGTTCTCAATAAAACATGTGACAATAGTCTTTTGTAGATTCAGTCTGTATCAGGTAACAATGAGTGTTGTGTGCAGTATGTGACACACATCGCAATATCGAGGGTATTATCTCACACACTGGTCTCCCAGCCAGTGAAGGTTTTTTTGTCACAGTGCAGGCTATGCTCTGTGATCCAGATGCCTGGGTGTGTATAGGCAGTGAGGACTCTGTCTTGACTCCTCACAAACAAACTGCAGGCTTGCCGTTTGCAGGAGAGGTGAGGGACACGCCCGTCCTCCAGGTGGTGCTGGAGGACGGGTGTGCTGGTACAGGGCTCGGGTGCCTGTGATGTGTTAAAAGACCAGTGGCTTGAATGGGAGTGGTTTGGAGGAGCCTGCCTACAGGTCTTCACGCTCTCGAGTAGGGCGGTACAAATAATGATTCCAAAATCAGTCATTTGGAAATTCATAAATCCGGAAAGATTTGAAGCGAACGCGAGGGGAATGTGAACGTGGACCAATTTAAAAAGTTATTTCTAGGCATCTGCTTGGCTCAGAAGACAGCTTTGTTCTCCATTTCAAAATATTTTTTTTTAAAAAGGCTCGTAGTGTTAACCACTTCATAGATGTGTTGTATAATGTTAGAAAATTCCTGGACGATTGAAAAATATTTCCCATTGGCTCGTATTGATGTGTGTAGCACCGTCTTTATCATATAAATCCGCTTTTGAATTTGTGTATCTAGATAGATTACTATCTTTTTAATTTTTCATTGAAATTAGTTTGTCTTTTGGGTTATTCCAAAACGGGAAATCCAAAATAAGCAGCACAATTCCAGAATCTTGCATTACATCTATGCAGTATTGGCTATCATCCATCCAGTGGAGGGTTATATGTTCAGACCACTCTTGAATGTGGGACTTGGTTTCTTTAGTGTCCAGAATATTGGTGGTGTTACTGAGACAGTGCAGTATCCCTAGAGAATGATCCTTTTTCAGCTCAACGTTATGATAGAGTAATGCCTTCTTATCCAATAAGGTTGGACACTGTTCTGAAGCATGCTAATTGTGCAGTACTCCAGTACTAATTACCCCTTATTGAATGTTTGATTGTTGATAATTACTACAGTATTTTGTCTTCTGTGTTTTTGTAAATTAACCTACAAATAATACAATCTGTCAGTTGTTTCCAGGAGGAGTGGACAGATGAGGAATTTATGGATTCTCTTTAAGAGATGGGTCTCCTTTTAAACATTTTCCTTCCAGGTATATATGGACTGGAGAGTTCAACATCTTGAGGACTTGACATTAATGTACAGTGGTAAATAACCTGCATCTGTGGGAATAAGAAATGCTTTTGTAAAGCACTGGCAGAAGTAGTCACCAAAACGGCAGTTTTATTTTTGGTGTTTAAAATTTTACTTCTGCTGAGAAAGGATGTAACTTTTTTCATGTTTTTTTCAATATTATTAATAAATTTTTATACATTTTTCTTTACAGTCCTGTAAGACCTGTATGAGTTCTTTAGTGGTGCATACTTGAAGCACACTTGTTTATAGCTTTTCTTTTTGCAGTGCTATAAGTAGGCTTCACACTCTGGATAACAGTATCAGCTGAAAATGTTACAGTGATTATAGATGTTGTAAAGCATTATCAGGCTTTCTTCACCATAAAGGGAAACAATATACATGCGATGTATGTTAACATGATGTGAGTTTCATAATTATAACATCTTGTAGTCTGCCTCCTAACAAAAAACTAACTATAGCAAAGAGACTGTTTCCCATATTTACTGCTTTGAAGCATAGAGCTTTTACTTTTGTTTGATAATTTATTAAATTAACCACAAACTTAAAAGTTTTATCTGAATTGTGTCCTTGTAATCACCTCAACTCAAAAACAAGGGGGGAAGATCAGATGGAATGTATTCCTTTTTCAAATCCAAGAAATCTGTAGGTGAAGAACAGGAATTTCAAACAGAAATGTGATAATGTAATATTCTAGTTTCAATTCAATTCAACTTTATTTGTCATTATACTTGCACGGGTGCATAGTATAGTGAAAAGTGTTTCTCATTAGTCACTCAGGTGCAGTATATAAAATAGAACAGAAGTCAAGACAATAGACAGTAACACAATAACAATAACAGTGTAATCAAAACTGTGCACATACGCAGAGAAAAGAATACAAAAACAGTGCAAAAATAATACGGTGATTAATAAATATGACAACTAGTACAGTTTAAAGTACAATTTCGGCTTACATTCGGTTGTCGTGTGTGTAGTGGTGTTGGAGTACAGTCATTGTGGGTACAGGAAGAAGTGAGGAGAGATCATAGCATGATGGGAGGGAGTGGGGGCGTCACCAGCTTGACGGCTCTGGGGAAGAAGCTATTTTGGAGTCTAGTTGTGTGCGACTGGAGCGTCTGGAACCTTCTGCCAGATGTTCGGGGGAAAAACAAGTTATGACTGGGGTGAGTGGGGTCAGACATAATTTTGGTGGCTTTTTTCAGACTTCTGGTGTTGTATATTTCCTGAATGGATGGTAAGGCACTGCCGATGATGTATTGGGCAGTTTTGACCACCCGCTGCAGTGCCATACGGTTGGATGTGGTGCAGTTGCCATAGCAGACTGTGATGCAGCTGGTCCGTATGCTCTCCACCGTACATCTGTAGAAGTTGGTGAGGATCTGTGGATGCAGGCGTATTTTCTCCAGCCTTCTCAGGAAGTACAGCCGCTGTTGTGCCTTCTTGACGAGACTGGAGGTGTTGAGTGCCCCTGTGACGTCCTTAGAGATGTGAACACCTAGGAATTTTAAATTATTCACCATCTCCACCACAGTCCCTTCGATGTAGATGGGGGAGTGGACTTTTCCTGTCCCCTGAAGTCAACGATCAGCTCTTTTGTTCAAGAGCTGGTTTCAATTTGGTTTCAATAACTTTTCTCTGCATACTAAGGAAATATTAATACATTCACAAGTATCTTTGTTATATGACATGAGTTAATCAGTTTTAGCTGCCAAGAACAACCTTGGAGCCTTTTGAGAAGAAGATAATCTTCTGATAACACAAGTAATCTGTACAGTTTCTCTGTTTCAACTGTGTATGGCACAATATTCAGGAAAAAGCAAAATATTCATATTCTTAAAGCATATACAGTACTCTAAGCAGCAAGGATACATATAACTTGCCCAAAAAGAAAAAGACTACAGGAAACAAGTACATGGATCACAGCTGCTAAGAGTCTGAAAAAATAGATCACCAGCCTAGCGCAGCAGTAACAGCATCATGAAAATATTCTGCATTATTTTAATACCTCTTGGGTCTTTCTGACTTCTACTATATTCATCACAAATCTCTAACAATATCTGGTAGTGATGCCATTGCATTCCTCTTTGCTGATGAGTGATGTGTATTGATTGGCAATTGAAACTTACTGGAAATGTTCCTCTCCATGGTGCTGTCAGGAAGGACATTGTTGCTGTGGCAGACGGGCTTGTACCTGTTCTGCATTGTGCATGCGGTTTGATACTGTCATGTTCTTGCGTCTTGGAAAGGCTTTACTTCAGCTGCACAGTAATGTTAATTAATATTATCTAATTGTACTGTTTCAGCAAGCACTAACACTTCAGTACAAGAGTCATGCTTTGCAGTTGCCTTGTAAGGCAGAACAGTTTTAACCTTTTTACAGAGTTGTGAACCATTTAATTTCCTATCCTGCAACACAAGCAGGCTTCCTATTTTCAAATGGCTTCTGCTTTATCACTTGCCAGAGTACCTCCAACCTGCTAAGAAGTTCATACGCATCGGACGTCCTTTGCATAGTGAGAGGATAATAGGAAGGGCTGTCACTGACCCTGCAGAAAAGACATTCCACATCTTCCAGTAATGACCGACACTGTCCAGCTTAAATCTGAATTGCATTTTATATGGCTTTGAACAGCTCTCAGTTGGGTTCTCAAAAACGTAATGCATCGGTGACCTTAGATGGCCCATATCACTCATTGTGTAGTGAATTCCCACTTAACATGATCAACAGGCCAATTGCTAGCATGTTTTACAGCTATGACAACAGCAGTTGTCTACTACTGTGTACTACTTCTACATAACCACTCGCCATAGCACATTAACTTTATATCCTGCTTGGAGCAGAGTTTATTCTCAAAGCTGTCTTGAGTTTTTTAAAAAAAGCCAAACTTTTACACATTCTTCAGAGTGGGTGCACTCAGTGTTTTAATAGATGTTTAATAGACCAAGAAAGGAACGGTCTCAGGCAAGCCTTTAGGTAATTCAATTAGGAGTCAGATACCGTTCAACCACAAAGGTTTTCATCAGAGGCAAAAAGTACTTGGAAAAAGACTAAGTGTTACAGCACAGTTTTTCTCTGGGAAGGGGGCTGGCTAGGTGCTGTCTCAGGGCTTTCTCTTTTCCTCTGTTTACCTTTCCCAAATTTACATCTCTGCATTGGTTTCTCTCTCCCTTCTTTTCAGGCATGTGTATTTAACATTCATTGGTGATTCTAAGTACCCTTGGTGGTTTCCTTACCAGCCTCATGAAAATACCAAGATTGTCTTGGTTAGTCAGATGACGTGCCTAGCCCTCCCATTTCTTTTCCTCATTTATTGTCAAAAAGACCTTTAACAAAATTCAGAAAATCTTCACCATGTGGACACAGCTGAAGTCAGTATCAATTCCACATAATGGAGCTACCATCTTCCAGAAACATTAAAATACATCCCTAAATCATTAGCCCAAACCCAAAGTGGTGCAAGAAAAACATTGTTGATATGGGTAGCTTTTCAAAAAGATATGTAGGGGGATTCATAATTAAAAATATCAACTTTGCTTTGACTCTCAGAAAGATACTCTTAGGTTATCTGTTTATATACAGTAAATGTAAATGCAATGTAAAGAGATGCACTTTGTTACAAGAGAAAGAGATTAATTTGTCCTGTTGGTCTGATCTTCACAGCAACACTGATTAATCTTTGAATCAATTAATCTTTTCACAAGTCCTTGGACAGGATAGTATTTAAGAAGTGCTGAGAGAAAGCATATTGGAGAATTACTAAATGTATCTCCTTGTACCACTGTTAATTGCTGTATACAATTAATCTACTGCTGTTTATGTGCTGCATTCCTGCAATTATTAAATTCCTTCTGCTTGTGTTCATTCCGTCTTTGACTTTTATTTCCTCGCAACTGTGTACATACACAGGGAGATACTTGGTTCTGAATTCATCCATGGAAATCCTTGTATACCTTCAAAGTATAAGTCACGTAAGCTACCATAACAAAATTATACAATACAAATTCAGTTCGAGCCACCCTACTAAAAACATACCAGCTCAAGGTCAACACCCAGCACTGCATGTACTGTACATCCGACCCACTGAGTAAAACAGTCGGTTCCAGTACATGAGGAAAAAGGCAGAGAATTTACCAACATCCCCAATCTTAAATACCTTGACAAATTATTAATATATAATTGATCATATTTATATAGATAGCAACTCCAATCCATTATCTGAATGCAATTAATCTGTTGGGTGACCTCGGGTGTTTCCCGTAGGTTAAGATCAGCAGAACATTTTTAAAGGTTATATTCACATTTTTCACTGGATCTGATTAAGAATATCATCAAAATGTCACCCACATGGGGCATCTTGAGTGTGCACGTATTCTTCATTCTTTCAGTATTAAGAAAAACTGACTCAGTGACTACTTTACAAAAGAGTTTAATAAGTGCATGCATTTCTGATACAATCTGTACTATTCAAAAATCTTAATGCTGTAAACATTTTACGTACAAAGTCTTTTTTTATGTTTTTTGATTATGTGTTGTCTGGTATTTAGGAACTTCAAGGAAGACTGAACCAAACAATCAAAAACAAAATTAGTACAATTTCAAAAAAGAAGCATATTCAACGTAATTCTTTATACTCATGATTCCAGCAAGAGAATTTATTTTCAGATATAAAAAAAAACATCACAGCTAGAAACCTTTCCTATCTAAACCATAAAGTTTAAACAAACTACACAATCCAATTAGACAGGAATGATCTGGTTTCAGCGCTTTTGTATATAATGTATTAACGATAGAAATCGGTCACAAATTACAGTATAAAAAAGTATTTTAGCCTGTAATCCAGTTATAAGAAAATGGTCACTGTTGTTTCTTCATGTCAGTTGACATTCTTCAAGTCCAGCAGACATAGGGATACACTTTGGCAAACTTGTGTTAAGAAACGCTCAAGTCTTCTTAGTTTCAAACAACTCTTTTCCTCCTTTTCAAGGGAGAATTATGTACCCGCCAAGGGACTTCGATGAAAAGTGAAAAAATTGCAAGGAAAAACTTCCCATGCATACAGCTTAAAAGTCACTGGTGCAGTCAGCCAGGTTGCGTCTGGGTTGGTTGCATAGTTCACATGGCACTGGAAGTATGGCAGAGGTGCACTACAGGAAGAGCTGGGTGGAGGTGGAGCATGCTGGGTCCCATGTCTAACTCCCTGGAAAGGCTACTACCTGTTACTATTGGACATCGAATACTGCTTCTGCTTCTGAAGAAGGAGTTCTGCGATTGCCAAGAGCTTTTTCAGGACATGCTGAAAAACAAGTATGAATTGAGAAATGTCACCTTTTCACCTGCAAATATTCAATGCTGCACTCAACTTTCTAAGTTTCATTTTAAATTGATGCATTTAATTGTCAGTTATCCTTAATATACTTAAGCAATCTGTTTTTGGTGTTTTTCATTTGATATATTGTACCTTTACAGTACCTTTTGGAAGACTGGAATTCCCAGTTAATAACAATAAAACTGGGTGCTAATTATGAAACGAGCGGCAATTAACTTCTCAGCTATTGAGTTTTGAACAGTCTTACAAGCAGTTTAAAACTCACCCTGATCACTAATCCCAGAGCCGTTTTAACTTCAAACTTGCTCTTTACTAACTGCTCCATGTAGGTTGTTTTGCATATATTGTTGTCAGCCGTGTGACAAGACACCCCAGCAATATTCAGAATTGAAATCTTGAATAGTTAACATATCATTAATGTGTCAGACTTACAGTGTCAATACGGGACTTTGCACGGCTATGTTTCCCTATCCCTAATTTTCCATAAGCTCTTAAATTCCTCCATCACGTCATGTTGGAAAAAGCCCCCGTGCATTGGTGAACATCTTACTGTTATATTGTACTTATCATTCATATTAATCTGCTGATCACAAATGCAAACTGCTTGACTGAAGCAGAAATAAGTCTTGACTTTGCTGTCCCAATACTTTTGGAGGGCACTGTATATTATAAAGATGATATGCTGAACTCCACTCCAATTCATAGCCTTCCAAGATACTTTGGGCAAGAAAAAGAACTGTTTTGAGGTAGACCCAGAAAAAACAGTCCAATGCATGAAGACCTGGCTGTCAGAAAAATAACCTTTTTGAGATTTTAACATCTCCGTAGAAGGTATTGTACCTTTCCTGATATTTACTTTAAAGTGACACAGGGTCATTTCAATGTCCTTACGATTCAGAGGGTCTTACCTGTTGTGCACCACGCTCATTGCTAAGGGTGCGAAGCTCATCTGAATGAGTCACGCAGATCTCATGCAAGGCAGCCAGATCCCGAGACATGTCAGTTCTAAAGTGCTCTGTAGTGTCTGGAAGATCAGGAACATTCTGCAAAGCAAGATCATTCAGTTTTATGAAGTCTTCCTGATCAATTCAATGTCTGTTGTTAATCTCTTATGACACATTTATGATAAACCATGTCATGACTTACAAAAAAAAACACATAATTAGATCTCCTTTTACTACGTAAGTGCAAGAAACAAATTAGTCTAGCTTTATAGTACTTGCAAACTGAAATCAACCTTGTAAAACTTAAATTTGTTTCCGTCTTAGATCAGTTTTTTTAAGAGTTTGGGAGAATGTCTGCGACTCTTATCAAATGTTGGCATCTGAAGAGTAAAAATAAAAACAACAACCAGAAATCCTCTGAAACACTACTAACCCCAAGTTCATCCAAGAACATAATCATTCGATGCTTGTTGTGCTTAATGAATGGATTCACTCCTTCCATGTAAGGCTCCTGAAAAAACAAGCATTTCATATTCAAAATACCCCAGTGTTTAGAAAATGCAAGACTATTTGAATACATATATATGCAATAACAATCTGGCAACCAGCGCATGAAAACACCATCTGTAGCAATGTAACCCTTTACCTTGGCACCAAACTCCACCAGGTTTGCCAGGTTCTGCACAGACTTGGCGATGAGAGTGAGAGTTCTGCCTGCCGTGGAGGAAGGAGGATCTGCAAAAACAGAAACAGCAAGTCAGAGACGCCTGCCTTGAGCTTTTAATTTGTGGGTTTATCAACCATCAATGGAGCACTATGAAAGTGATGAAAAACTGACATTTTCATTATACTGACATATATGAATTTCATTGCTAAGCTCTTCAAAAAGCCAGGAAAAAAAACTTGTATAAAATCAATAATCTCTATAGAGTTTGGGGTGGGGGCTGCAGTAAAGGGAAAACGGAAAGACCGAACAAAGCTGGTTGATTCCTGAATGACTCGAGCCGGTAAGCATAAAGCCTTTCATTTGAGCCTGCCTTCCAAACTCGGAGCTGCCAGGGGGCGCGGTCTGATCTCTGAAAACAAGCATGGCTCCAAATGCGAGGAAGCTCTTCAGCCCGTTCGGTAGTTAGCAGCTAATTGATCCAAGGATCTTAAACAGCCGAGTATTGGCTTTAATGATGTGGCTGGGTAGCTTGTTCCACACTCCCACAACACTGATAGGTTCCGCCACGATCTGAACTCGGATCACTACAATCTGAGTCCAGAGTTAACATGTCAGTAGAACCTATTTAATGAAAAGATCACCTTTGATGCCTAATCATGCTGTAAAATTGTTGCACAGGTGAGAATGTCAACTTCATACACACAACCTTATTTCTTAGTCTTAATTCCTCCTTTGCTTTTATATGAGACAGGCACACATAGCATTAATGCAGAGCTATGTAAGAAAATGACATTTCATTGTAATTCAAAATGCAAGACTGGCGTTATTTGAAACTTGGGCAAATGTCCGGTGTACAATTTAGTCAGAAAACAAAGATTTTTTAATACATTCTATTTAGTCACCTTATAACTGTACTGTGATATTAAAACGTCAATTAACATACCTGTAATGATATTAAACATCCTTGGGTTAAGGATTGCAGGACAAATCAGCCGCAGGAATACAAACCCACTTTAAAATACAGAGAGAAACCAGAAGTGTCAACAATGCATTAACACACTACTGTAGTATTATTACTTTTCATAGTAATGAGGTAATATAACTAGCTAAAGCATTTTAGTAGAAACAGTAGCAATTTTACACAAAAAATATCCCCCCCCCCCAGTTATACCCTATTCTGTGCATCTTAACACTATAATGTTTTACTTGGAAAGGACAAGTATAATTCGAAAGATAGCAGCAGTAAATTCATGAAGTCGTTTTTATGAATAAGCTTCTCAAGTAACAATCAGAAAAATATTGCTTACCTTACAACTCTGGTCCTCATTGTTGTATTTTTTGGCCATTTCTGTTGCACAGATTTTTGTAAACATCCGTAAATGAATCTTAAGGTCCTACAAAAAAACAAAAAACTGCATTATTCTTATAGAAACTGTATCTACAAGTCTAATTAATCTTAAGATTGAAACAGTATCGCTTATTGGTTCTTTCAATATTCAGCAAACAGAACCTAAACCAGAGAGACCAGAGAAGCTAACCACTTACCTTGTGAAAGCTACATGCCACCCTGATCTGTTAAACTCTTCTAAAAAACATGTTCTAAGTGTTTGATGATACTTTGATGATGCATTTTAAAACTGAGGCTAAAAACATGAAATGTGGAGATGAAGAACAGGGAAAACAACAAACAAAAGTTTATTAAAATTGTTCTTAAAAAGTTACAATCATGTACAGTGCCATTTGGTAAATATTTGGACAGTGACACAATTTCTGTTGTTTTGGCTCTGTACTCCAGCACATTGGATTTGAAATGAAACAATGACTATGAGGTTTAAGTGCAGAATGTCAACATTAATTCGAGGGTATTTAGGTCTTGATATACTGTATTTTACTTGCCTGAGGCGAATACCACAACAAAAATAGCAGAAATAAAAAATACTGACATGCTGGTTCTCCTCTCAGGCTTGAAAGATATGATTTTATAAAGACTAAAGAAAGAAAAAAAATCAGAAACTAAAGCTTTTCTCAATTTGTTCCAAAGTAAACCATCTACTTACGGTGGAAGAATCTCTGCAGCCATGAATATCTTTTCAACAAGCTCTGAAAGGATGTTCAAGAGGTGTATCAAGTTAATGCTCACATCTTCATTCTTCTCCAGTTTGGAAGGATTCAGCTGAAGAGTGAAAAGGTGTACCTTAACATTAACTTTCCTAATCCTGCATGACCAACACCCACTTCCGGAAAATGGGAAAAAAATGGTTTCAAATAAGAACGTTTTAAAAAGGGCTAACAAATCCCAACAGAGCGCCCCCACAGATTAACCACAGAATATGAGATCAAGCCTCTCAGGTCCTGTGGTGAAAAGACAATGCTGCCTTCAAATCTTCAGGGCAGAAAACTGAAAAAATGCATGGCATAAAATACTGATTACATATTTTTTTCCTACTGCTGGTTGCATGTACAGTGAAAAGTAACTTTGTCAATGAAAAGCTGATGTGGCTGTACCTCACATGACTGCTTGCTCTCCATTATTTTCAGTATGGTGTCCTTGAGTGCGTGGTGGACAAAAGGCGTGGCTGTAGCTTTCATGTACTGCTCCATAAGTGTGCTTGCGAGGGTGGTGGCACGGAAGAGCGTTGTGGCTTCATCTAGAGCAAGAACAAGGGGGAAAATTAACACGGCCCTTTTCCGTGTCATCAAATTCAAGGTCGTGAACCTGGAAACTCTGTACAACCATACTGCCGGTGAAATGAAACAACCTACTTGACAGCTGAAGCCATGCCTCACAACTGATAGTCACCCAGTGGAGATGGACATGGGTCACTCTGAACTCTAATCCTGCCTGCAAAAACACCACATGCTCTTCCCAGCATGCTCTGTCTTCCAGAAAGTTAAAAGAACACAAGACAGGGTGCAAACAAGAGAAGGCCACTGGGCTCATCCAGCTGTTTGGTAGTTAATAGCTAACCGACCCCAGGAAATCATCCAGCTGTGTTTTGAAAAAAGGGGTATCGGCTTCAACAACATGGCTGGGTAGTTTGTTCCAGGCGGCAAAGGTGCAAAGATGTCAATATTGACAAGTTAGAAAATCCAGCCATTGGCATATATAAAAAGAATGATGTGATGTACACTGTAAAAATGACCTATTTTAGTCATTGCTCAGAAGGTATAATTCAGTTGAACATCGTGAAACGTACCCTCCATGCTTATTTCCCTGTCGTTTAGTGTTCTCAGAAGTGGTGCTTCGGCCTTCTCGTGCCGAAATATCCTCAGTAAAATACTAGCCAGCAAAGTCCGGTCCTGTCCACAGACGTGAGCCAGAGCATAGATCGCATGGAACTCCTTCTGCAGTACGAGCTAAACGAGATTCAGATGAGGAGGGAGATAAATGATGCTTTTATTTCAAACATTTGATCCTTTGTTTATGACTGTATTTTTATACTAAAGACCTTGCGCTTCCCACTACTGCGCTGTTACTAACCCTACAGACTGCTACTCGTCTCTAATTCCACCTATAACTTCGACATCGAGAATACTGTGACGCATATTTGGTCATGCGTTTTCCAGAGATAAAGAGGTCTAAAGACAAGCATGGACTTCGTCTTACCTGCTTGAAATCTTCATACTCCTCCTCTGGCATGATTTTCTCCACCGAATACCTTGCTCTGACACGGAGCGAGCCGGGCTCAATGCCCTTGAGAGGAACGTTTGAGCTCAGAGGAAACCACTCATCTATCATTTGGCCCTTCTGCAACTTGCTTAGCTGGCAGCGCATGAACACTGGAAAAACAAAGCCAAATTTTCAATTCCCCACACTCTGCCTGTCTAATAAAATACCTAAACTTTCAAGATGTAATTTATACAGCTCCCTTTTGTTTATATAGGATTCTTCTAAACTGTTCTTAATTGACAATCCAGGCCCATTGTTTTCTTTAAAAACTCATGTATCGTACAGTCTTCAAAGAAGAACAAATTAAAGGAACAGGATTCTGAAAACCCAAGCAGAATCAGCTTGATGTTTCATTGGTTACAAGTTTGCCACATTCGCCTTTTCCTTATATATTTTCCTGTATATGTTGGCAATGTTTTGTCTAATAATGCAGTAGTGACTTTTACATTACTTTCATATTATCTATTTACTTATTTTTTTAATACTCGTGTGGAGTTAGTTATGTATATAACATTCATTTGCACTGTATTATGACTACAAGCTTTAAAGCAACAAAATGTGAAAACTACAAGGGTCTGGACACTTTAAGACACTATGAGAATCACACTATACCACCTTACATCAGAATTATTTTCTTCTTTTGAATTTTAAATGTTGCATCCTTAAATCCACATTATATTGTGACTCCAGTCTGATGAGGCAGTTTAAGGAGCAATACAGAGAATCTGATTAGATCTTAGAGGACTGTTAGCATCTGGAGCGATTAGGAAGGCCTTCTGCATCCAGAAAAGCAGTACTGAAAAAATGTAAAGATTTTTATGCATTTGATAACATTTTTCAAGCAGAGAAAAACAGTCCTCATCCTCAGCTGGGCCAGAAATCCAGCTGTCACCAGGTCACAGATGCAGAGGACAAGAAAGAAACAAGAGTATTTCATTCCCATTAGAATAAAGGGAAATTAACTTAACAGTCAGTTCCAATATGCGTCTGTTTTGAAACTGTATGTACTCACAGATATCAGGGTCTTTGCTCTTTTTTGTCTTGTTGCTCAGGCTGATTTCAAACCTGTTGATTTCACTGGACAGGTCACTGAAGAAACAAAAATAGATATAGAAAAGATAGAAAAAGGACAAAGCTAATGCCTACCGAACACTTAAAACTAGTTTAAGGTTAAGAATGATCAAATTTATGGTTAAAATGCAAGGATGGTAAATGTTTTATAGCATTTAAATAAAACAGAATGACTGACTAAGCTTCTTAGATATAATATTGTTCATTTTCAGACAATCTATTACACTATTATAGCACTATTAAACTTTAACATCTGACTGCATTATTTTAATTCTTTAGCAGTGTCTCAGCATTTAACGTAGCACCTGGTACTTTTCAGTTTTCAACAAAAAAAAGCATACTCAAAGATGAATTCTTCTGTCCACACAGGATTTTGCCCTTCTCTGGGATGCGTTTTTGCCACCTGCACGCTGTTCAAATAAATATTGCAGTAGGGATTTGTGAAGTGTTTTACAGGAAGTTTGTGGGCCTCTTCCACATAAAGAACTAAACTGCTGACCTGGAGAGGTAAAAGAAAGAAACCTTTTCACAACACAAATCTCCATGTTCCACCTGAACTCGACAGAGGAAGCCAATGTCTGAACTATTACTGCCAAAGAAGAACAAATCTAATTTCCCTCTAAGAGCTGAACTTACCCTTTCCTGAAAAGCATACAGCCCCTATAAACATGATGGTGCTTTCCTTGATAATTGGTATAAAGATAAAGATATCTTCTTCATTAATACAAATAGAAGATACATTTATCCCACCAGGAAAACAAGCTGAAATTAGAGTATCCCTCCCTCCCCCCCAAACAGAACTGTGGTGCAATCACTGAGTTCTTAATTCAATAATAATTGTTTGCTGTGATTCACTTGTATCAGATAATGGAAAAAGGAGTGATGATCAAATCCGTTTCTCAGCTTGAATCTGCATTCAGAATGGAATACTTCCTTAATGGATGCATTTAGATGAAATACGCAGACAAAAAAAACAAGAATTACCTAGGCAGTCATTTCAGAAAAATAACTTTTTTTCCCAGTTTGCTGTATTTCTTGTTGAAAAGGAAGACTAGAAAAGCCTTGTAAATACCTGCAAGTTCCATTATTAAATACTGTAAACAAACAAGTTAGCATCTTTAGCGGTGCATTCTGTACCTGACGAAGACGTTTATGAGATGATGGCTGTGTTGGTTTCCTTAGATTACTGCAAAACGTCTGCAAACATTTCATCCAGTCCTACCAAAAAAAGGGAGGAATTTAGGAAATGAAATGCAGGATCCTCTGCTTTCATAAATATACTTGCACATATACTGTACTTGCAATTGTAAAATTGTGAGTCAGGGTGTTTTTTTTTTCGGGCTGCAAGAAGAACTGCAGTGCTGCTGGTGGGAACGTACCAGCTTTAGAAGGAAAGGCAAACACGTGTACCTGCGCTTGTTCAGGAGTCTCTCCCGCAAAGTAGAAAATGTAATGCTCCTCACTAAAGTGCTGAACTACAATCTGAAAACAGTTTGGCCTGAAACAGGAGGGAAGTCAAAGTGCATAATTAGAAACTGGAACAAAAAACAGGTTAATATTAATGATGCAAAAGCAAGATTTTTAGAGCGCTGAAGTTTCAAAAGAAAATATGTACAGCCTTTCTTTTTTAATTCCAAAACACAAGAAGTGAAAGATCTAAGCATTATACTGAAAACAAAATACGTTTTAGAACAGAATTGGAAATTAAAACTTCCAATGACTTACAATATTAACATAAAAGAAAAAAAGACGACATCTTATATACGTGTATCTGCAACAGGAAAACAAATATTTCAGCTATATTTTCACCTTAATGTTAAATGTGCATGTCATCCATTTTAATTCCACGCTGGGATTAAAGGAAGCACTGGAACAATAAACAATCTATAACAGGATGAATCGATTTCTGACTTTTGATCAATGTCAGTTTAAATAAAATATAAAAATAAAACTGTCCAGGAGAACTTTACATTTACAGTTAGTGTTCCCAGGCAAGGTATTCCTGCTGCCTTCATCTCTCTCCCTCAGATCTGAAGAGGGTTCATCTGCCCAAAATATTGTTTCTTTTTTCTACTTTTCAATGTTGAATTAACCTTCACTTGTATCCTTGCAGCCAACATATGCTGATGCAGCTCCCCACTCAGACGGCTGTATCCATATATGTTGTACATATTAAGAGGCAATGTAGGAACGTTTTGATAGGACCAATGAAGCTTAAAATAAGTAAAGGTAAATCTTTACTTGTCAGTTCATTGCAACATGCAGGAACAGCTCCTCACCTGCCAAACAGACTGTCATGGACTCCGTACACAGAGCACACACTCAGATCAATCAAACCTTTAGGTTTGGTGGCTCGTTTTTCACTTTCAAAGTAGATCAGTTGTGCATCATTCCCCTCCAGAATGAAGTACAGATTTTTCCACCTTTTACCTTTGCCTGTCAAAAAAGAACCAAGATCCAAAAAATGTTACTTAATGATAATAATAATCATCTATTATACATTTCACCTTAAAAGCAATCAACTCAAAAGTACTTTACAACACAAACAGCTTAATTACTTTATATTTCTTTTTAATTTGGAACAGTTAAATAATGACACATCATTAAGAAATATAATGTACCTTTATGAATTAGGAGGTAGCCTTTCTTGACGATGTTTTTATAAAATGCGTCCTTTGTCTTTCGTCGAATAGTGTTGTATATCTCTTCACGATCCACCAAGTCAGAAAGTACTTGTTCCTGATGCTAAGAGAGGTAGAATGTGTTGTTTAATGATAAACACAGTTTTAACCTCCTTGCTTTCTCAATATACTTTAATAAAAATATATAATTTAATATTAACATCATAATCCAGTGTAATATGCCAATCTGCCAACATCAGATTTAATGCGTGGAACCTTCTGTATTTCTAACCAATACCACAAGACCGCTTGAAGAAAAATAAATGAAGAACAAGACTAGAGAAGAAAAGGGTCTCTGTCATCCAAATTACCTTTACATAAGACAAAGACAACCAGGTAGTCCTCCAGAAAACAACCTGGCTACTCCATTCTTCAATCTCTATCTATGGAACTCTTGAGGTAGGAATTCCACACAAAAGATAGTGAGGAAGCACAGAAGTAATGATAACCCAAGGAATACTAGAGAGTACCTGGAATCCCGGAAATTCATAGTGCCAAGAATAAAATATTCTCCCATTCTCCAAAACGTACGGCCACTGACATGCATATCTGTTTAAAGATCTAGGAGGGTGGACAATGCGCACTAGTTGCCTAGGGATGTAACACCTACCTGCACAGAAACCGGATCCTTTAGGTAGTAACCCTCAACAATCTGCTCTTTTCTATAATGGTCAATGATGTCATCAATGCTACGGGGAAGAATAAGATCACAACAACCCATCAATTATTCAGATCAGCCCTGCTTCTAATTGACACTTCTCTATGACATGAAATTCTTAGTTTGGCAACTTCAAAATATATGGTGGCAAGTTTTTCCCAATGTGCAGGGGTGCCCAACAAAACAACCGCTTGTGTTACTGTATAGTGAATTTTAATATTCCACATATATTTTTGATTCCACGAGCTATAAGCAGTACACAAATACACTCAATTTACCACTAATAGCCAGTCTTTAAAAGATTGAACTTGTCTTTGCTTACCTATTGTGAGAACCCATTCAAAAAGTAAACAGAAAATATAAGCAATCCAACAACATACATGCTTCAAAAAAGATTATATTTTACTTACTACTACTTTGCATACTCAGCATTTTCTTATGTCAGGCAACACAATCTTTGAACACAACAGGTAGGATCACTGTACTGTGTCATTAGCTGCAAAATATTAACACTCCTTTTTATTTTGGTGTGTGAGATGTGGTTCAATTAATATGATCAATCATAGCGTAAACACAGAAATCGTCTTTAAACCTATGTAAAAATGAGATGATATTCTTGAAAATGCAATGCAGTGCATGTGTATAGGTATATTTTAGAATTTGCCCACGTAGTGGAAAGGGCAGTTAGCTTTTATCCTTTTTGTTAAAAAACAAACTATTTAACTTCGGCTACAGAATCACTTGCCATATGACTTCATCAACAGTTCTGTGATGTTTGTAGACATAGTTCTCAGTGCTTTCCCAATATGTACGTTCACACAGGAAAGTATTTCATGCATTAGGGCAAGCAATTAGAGGAACATCTGAGGTAGGTATACTACTAACCTGTTATAGTACCTCCCTCCCATCATAAATTGATTGTTTGGAGTAGGACATATTTTAAATCGCTGGATGTTCTCAGTGGTCCGAAAGAACAGTGAATAGTCACCAGGTGTGTTGTCTGAAGGTCTGACCAGAAAACTGCATACTTGTCCAACTAGGACAAAAAAAAAGATTTGAAAACTAAGTCACACTTAAGGTAAACATAACATCAGCATATGCACATACATGTTATCTCATTTGTAAACACAACACAAAAATACCTTTCATTTGTTTGATTTTTGTTTTAAATTTTTAAGAAGTATTTTTTTCTCTCACAGCATTAAAAATACCTATAATAATAAAAGCAGCAGAAAATATATTCAGATATGCAGGGAATCTGCAATCAACTTTAAGCCTGCAATAAATGATAAATTCAACAAGTAGTGATATTAAGGAACAAGTAAAGGTTAATTCCATGCTGAAAAGAGAAGAAAGGAAACAACGTTGTGTTTTCTTTCTTCCCTTTTTAGCGGGGAATAAACCTTTATTTGTTCCTTTGCAGCCTACGCATGCTGACGCAGCTCCCTGATTGAAGTGGTGATATAACTCTTTTTCAATGTAAGCTCTCTTTAGGGGAAGAAAATAAATGAATATCTGACTGTTTAAAGTGATACGAAGAAGTGTCATATACAATGTGTAGCACGGCCTCGCTGATTTATGAAAATGTACATAGAAAAATAATTACCAAGATGTAAATTACACATTGTACTTAAATCTCAAATATTTGATAATTCTGATAATTTGATAATGATTCTGATAAATTAATAATGATCAATCTGTTCACCTAAAAAACCCAACAAAGCAGATAAGCAACAAAGCTCCTTACTCTTCACCAGTAGCAGTATGCAGTTTATCACAGAGATGTCGAGTTCTGTATACGCTGGAGTCTTGCACTTTTTCTAGCAACTGCCTGACAGCATTATATTCACATTCACTACCTGAGACGTACAAAGGCCACCCTTTTGGTGTCTAAATCACATACTGAACCTGAAGAACATATTGTTTACATTTCATAAGGAAGTGAATTCACAGAACAACTCTCTCTCTCATATGGACTTCTCACATTCTATCTTTTTTCCCCCTATAAACGGTAAAGCAACTTGGAAGTCTGGTCAATCGTGACGTGGTGGTCTGAGACACATGGTTTCATTAATATATCATCCGTGCGGATATCACTCGTGTTTTTTTGCCACTATTTTTAATTGCTTAATCCTCTGGGAGTGAACGTCAGGTGGCCACTCCTAAGTGAGCAGGGGCTTCCTTGCTATTGGCCTGGTGCGGCAGTAATGTTCAAGTGCGTCACTGCACTGCGATGCATATTGCTGCGTTAACCCACTGAGGTGCACTGAGCCTTCCGTCTGCCGAAACACCAACAACATTACATCTTCTCACCCTTTAAAACTCTGACCTTTAAAGAAACATCTACACTCTACTGCAAACTTGAAACCTTTTCATTTTAAAAGGTTCAAAAGGACAGCACTTTAGCCTGTAAAAACATTTAAAACAGTCCTATTCGCAGTAGCAGTTCATTTATCACACAATAAAAAATCCAACAAATAACGCCCAAGATCCGCATGCAAACTGTTAACAGAAATTGTATATTCGATATGAAAGCAATTATATACAATTTCCCGACATGTATTCTGTTTAGGAATCCTGATGCAGCATACCATTTAGTTATTATGCTTTTGGCAGACATTTCTAGAACCATCCAAGAGAATATTTCCAATAAGTTACTCTACGATAAAACATTATGTCAATCACATGATAAATTTTGCAGAGTCTGTCTCTAAAAATGATAAGGGGTTTTCAGCTTGTTCTTAATTCAGGAATACATCAATACCACATACTATATAATTACTTCATACAGCTGATTTTACATTGTTTCGCTTTAAGATACTCACGTAATTGCCATTATATCATATCTACTGACCTTTAATTTATATTTCATTTGAAACAATAATATTTCATATTGGCTGGTACTCATGTTTCTTTTTGTTCCCCCCCACCCCCTTCTATAGGCACGTACTGTATTTATTAAGGTTTTAATTTCAAACTGGTGTGGATACTGATCAGGTACCTGTCATCAGCAGGTTGTATGCTTCCTGTTTGTTGATCTTTCCATGATACCAGCTAGAAAAAGGATGAAAATAGCCCATTATAAAACAAAAACAATGGAAAGAGCTGCATCCCTGTTTCTTCTCTGTAGTAACATCATCAGCGAGCAGCCGTAGCAATGAGTCAGCGCTGACTCAGGTCTGCATGCTTAGTCATGTCTCTCCAGCCACGTTTCAGCCAATGGCATTGATACCTCTGATCACTCTTCAAAGATTAAGTCACATGCGCTCCCTCAAAAATAGAAATTAAATTCTTGGATAACCTTAAGAATATTTCTTTCACTGTCTTGTGTAAATTAGCAGCAGGCTGTATTTGGTTGAACGATCGGGAATACAAAACAGAGGGTCTCCATGCTAAACTAGTATCATTTCACCTGTATTCTGATGCAGATTTTAACCTCACTGATATGACTTAAACCGTATTTTTCAGAAAATATTACAATCAGATCAAAACTGAGATAATATTCAATACGACAAGAAAATAATATACGTACCCCTCCTAACAATACATATTTCTGCAATGCAAATGATTAACAACTGAATTATAACTTCTCAAATGGCACCTACTGAAGAAGCGCTGAACAGCGCAACAACTGATTCAGCACAATCACACAATCGCAGGCTCAACCAAATTCAAGAGCTCGAAAAATTCCCAAGTGTCAGGATAATTTGTTCATGATGAGCCTGAGGATTAAGCATCCTAAAACTGTATTCGAATGAAAGAAGAAATTGACCCACTGATTATCTGGCCCAGCATTTCTTTATTTTACTATACTTCTTGAGTAACTGGTCACTAGATTTATACATCCTGTCAAATGCTTGAGTACCAATAAAAATGATCTACTTACACTTTGCCTTCGTGGGGATCTTCTTCTCGTCCCTGAAATTAAGAAAAGTGTTTCATCCCTCATACCAAAAAAAAATATTAGGTAAGTTATCAGGTAGATATCGGCATCATAAAACGTCTTAACATGAATTCTGATGTTAATTTGAATTAATGTACATAAAATCTATATTCTGTTCTTGACAGACTTTAACAGTTATAACCTTTTTATGCTGCTAGTAAACAGCTGGTAGCAGCTCCTTTTCTAGAGCTCTGCAAGAGACGCTTTTTGACCAAGGCAAGTCACCAGATTTGAACGTAATTTTCCGATTTGTATTTTAATTTCTAAATCATAAATATGCTTAAGCTTATGTCCATGCAAAAACCATCATATGAACTGACATATGCAACAGCACAGCAATGCATAATTGTATAAGCTTTCACCCTTGTAGTATCAAGATATTTTGTGGATAAAATACATTCAACAACACTAAAATCAGCAATACAGTATGTAACAAATGGGATGACTGATCCAGGCAAACGTAGATCTACTTACTACTTCTTCTACCAGGTCATTAACGATCAGGCCCTGCTCATCAGTCCGCACGTTTGTAACCCACATCCACCCGTCATCGAGTTCATTGTGAACAATAAACATGTCCCCTTTTAGGAAACTGACAACAAAACAAGACAGGATGGCCATCAATACCTATAGACAACACACTACAGAAACACTTCTCCCTGCCAGAGATATAATAAATAATTGTTGTGAAGATGTCAGAAAGTCGTACTTCATCACAAATTTACCTTGGATCTGCAATAAGAATACCTCCTTGCATTTACATGTTAAAGAACAAAGTATTTAAATGCAAATCTAAATGTGTGTGAATTTGAATGTATAGAAAAAGATATATGTTGCAATTCACAAACACACATGTACAATGTTGTTACACAACAGTAAGTGTTCTATTCAGAACACATGGATTGAAAGATCTATAGGAAAAAAAATATTTCAAAGCTAATAAGAGCAGAAAGAGATTCAAAGATGCATGTTTTAAGCCAGGTGATTTACTAAAAGGGCAACTCTATGACTGGTGACTTGTTCTCATTCAGTTATGTGTGTTTTTTCTAACTTTTTCAACATTTTTTAAACATTTTTCTAACCCCAAAAGAGTTTTCAAAAAGCACAAATGGAATCAAATGGAATGAGAAGCAATGCTTTGAGGAGTAGTTTTATTCTGTCCTGCAATACCATATTTCTGACTGAAGGTGTCTCCTGCAAACCAACTAAAAATAGATTAAGTTCCTTCAAACAACTAAGGGGAAGTATTTAGTGCAAGTCATATTTTCAAATACACAAAATGGAATAGAGCATTAAAGATCACAGGCTCATTATTTAGGCAAGTTATATCTTTTATAGAAACTTTTTAAATTGTGCTTTGCATTCGAATTTGAATCTCATAAAAATGTTATACCATCTTATGCTATATAATACTACACAGAATCTCACAAACTTGAACTCTTCAAACCACTTAGATTCATACAGCATTGAAATATTTCAAGAACAGAAGAGTAAAAAAAAACTCAAGTCAGATTTTTCACTTCTTTTGTTTTTAAATTTTACAATATATACATTTCTCTTTGTTATTATTTCTTTCATGACATGGAATAATTTTACAAAAATTTAACACATTGCTTTGGTAACAGGGTATTTTGACACTATATGCAGGATTGAGATGATCAATCTAGCAGTAGCCATGTAAACCATATATAGTATGAAGAGCTTCCCTTTGTATTATAATTACAAAATGCAGTTAGTTACCCACTTACTAAAGGAGAACTTTTATTAACCATGCCGGTTAATAAAATTCAGCAAACCTTATGGTCCAAACACAACAAGAAAATTATAGCTAATCTATTTTTAATGATCATGCTTCGCTCTTACTTCAGATCATTCACAAATATGACACTTTTTATGCACAGAGCACAGAAAAGCCCTTTGCTTCCTGAAGGCTCGGTATTGCCTATAGACAGCTGATTGTATGGGCCATTTCTCACCTGATTTCGTCAGTATCTGGCACTTTGGTGTATGGAAGTTTGGCTCGCACTCTCCTTCGGTCTTCCACAGGCTGTAATGCAACATTGATCATGTATAATTTTAACTGATACACCTATGAATGTGTCAGAATGAAGGCTCTTTTTGCTGTGTGTAAAACCACATGTCCAATAAAGTGATTTAAGTAACATCACCATAGGTGAGAACTGTTGGTCTCCGGCACTTTTTAACCTATGCGATCCTGACATAGGAAAGAAAAAAATCTACAGGCTGATTCACACTGGAATGATCTGATCTTGTTTTTTTTTCCCTGATTACAAGCCTCTTTTTCTTCCACAACAAATAATGCTAATTAAACCTGAGTCAAAATCCTGACAAATTATGCCTAGTGTGGAATTCAATTACGGTAATCTGGGGTAAATGCAATGCTGTTGTAATAATAAATAATAAAAAAGGGAGGGACGATCTCACTGATAAATATTGGTTTTGATTTAATTGCTGCTTACTTTGTTAATATAAAAATAAAATTAATAGATCATTTTAAGACTTTTTAAAAGATTTACAGTCTGCTACTATCATGGTTGCAATAAGCAAGAAAAACATTCCTGGCACACTGACTTTATAAAAATATTATGACTGACATTTAATTAATCTGATTCTCACCTCTGGAGGAGCCACTGGAGACTGTAACTTTTCTCCTTTAAGTAAACAGGATACATAGCTGTAATATCCAATCAGGTCTGACAGCGAGGAAAAGCGACGTCCACCAATGTAGTAATCTCCACACATAGCTATTATCCTGAAGACAAACATACAGGTTCACATCACACTATCTGCCAGCACATAAACAGAAATAATTCTGAATAAGTGACAATCAAACTCCAAATTAAAAGCTCGACAAACCCTTCTATGGGCCATTTTACATTTCTTACAAACAGGGGAGTAATAATTTATTTTAAGATGTGTCTTATCTGAGAACATCATCCAGGCAGCCTTCTTCGGATACATTACTTAAACCCACATGAATCTGGACTGAAATTATGCAAGGATTTAAAAAAACAAAAACAATTAAAAATGTAGTGGTAACTCCAATGCTGTTCAAATTACATTTTACATGACGAAGTGCAATTCCTCTATTTTTGCAGAGAAAGAAGCCAGGATTAAATTAGGCCTTGAGCCACTGGGTAGCATTATACAATCAGAGATTTATTTTTAAAGATCACTTTAATGTAATATGCAATATACCAAAAATAAGCTAAATTCATTTATCCCTATATTTGGAGATGGTAAATTGCAGGGCTCAAATACTGTCCCTTCCTCTAATTTTGTACATTTCTAAGTACAAAGCTCCTGGCGTTGTAAAATTAAACAGAGTGACTCCGGGAGCTTTAAAGCTAAATAAAACAAACAGCTTCTTCCTTCCTTGCAGCTTATTATAGTAAACACACCTTTTGTTAAGGTCGGCATATGTTAAAGCATACCTCCAAATCTTCCGCATTTTAATGGGTTACACACTTTTTCTTATGCCAGCTTTTTATTCATAGTTTCAATTTCTAACAATAGCTTCACTGTCTTTTTTATTTATGCGATTTGTCCTCCCACACCTTCATCTTGTATTGGGGCCAACACCAACACCATCTTGAAAACAATCTTCCTTAAGTCTTATTTTTGGCAGTATCTTAACATTCATTATTTCAGTTTAGTTCTTATGTTCACCATTTTTTGGTCTCACTCACACTTTGGAACTGAACCACCCAAGTTCAGCCATTGGGAAAAAATACATTAAGTGCTAATTCAGTTCTAAATTATGGATGATCATGTTACTCCTGTAAAACGGAGTGAGGGTGGTTGGGGTGGAGAGAGAAAGAAAGGCAAAAAGAAGAAAGTGTTAATTAAGGTCTCTGAAGTTGGGCTGTGAATTTAACTTTATGGTCGTCGTTATCTCCACTTCTCTACTAACAGAATTCAGGCGCATGCATTTAAAAAGAAAGCACCCATTACAGATTAGATTAAATAATCTCCAATGTGGAGTTGTGGATGTTTGCGACTTTTCTTTATTCAGTCTATGGAACAAAGATATGAGGGGAAATCTAATCAGACGCCACACAGAAATATTCATTAAGTCACATTCACATTTGTACATATTGCGTATGGAAGAGTTAAAACATATCAAATACCGAGCAACTAAGGTATTAAAATGAAGACAGGTATTAACAATGAGATGGATTAAACCTTAAAACTGTCTTAGCTTTCAACTCTACTTGATCTTTTCTTACTCAGACCAAACATGATTTATATGATAATTCTTGAACTTGAACTTTATGAGCTAAATTTCACAACTAATTTATACTGAACCACCTGAGAGTTTTTACCTGAAATGATTGACGACGCTGGTTTTGCTCAGGAAGGACAGCACGAAGGACCCAGGTCTCCTGTCGCTCTCCCTGATGAGGTAACTGCCTGGCGTCCTGGCCTGCCTGAGGCGTTCTTCCGCAATTGTCCGATCAAGCTTTCCATGATACCATCTGGAAGACAAGTCAGGACGTAATGAATTAGGACAACTCATTTCTGAAAAATCCCAACCTCCATAAAAAATAAATTACATTTGATTTCTTTGCAACCATCTACAATCAATAAACCAAAATGCTATCTTAACATTAGCCAAGTGACATTATAAAATCTGGTTCATGCTGGTCCTGGAAGAGAGCATTCTGATGGTTCAGTGAAAATGCTCCTGTGTGGTATACATTAAGGAGGAAACACTGCAAAAGAAAGGCTGTAAAACACTGCAAAAATATAAAACATGGAAACAGCTCGGTGTTGTTTTTCATATAAGATGCACATATACTCCATGAAATATTCCTATTTCTCACCATTTCACTTTGAAAATATTTCAGCACCCTTGAATAATCCTAAATTCACGCTTTTCCTCACTTCTATTAAAAACAGTTTTAGGTGCCTATTATTCAGAAGTGTGGGCTTTTAAAGACCTGAATTTTGTTCTTACTGCTTATACAACTGGTCATAATTATTATAATTATGAATGCACCAGGAAATCCTACCAAATGCGTTTAAAAAGAGAAGAATAGATTTGAACCACTCAGTAATGTATAAAACAGTTAGCCACATTAAGAACTACAACTATGGTCAGATTGCATCAAACATTTACAACCCTTATAAACATTAAGCAATTACCCCTGTTCAAAGAGAGCACTGTCAAGCCAGACGTTTGGAAATCGGGGACAGAAACTTAAAATGCCTTGGTAAAAGATTTTTTTATAAAAAAGTATAAAAGGGGAGTTACTATATAAGTGAGTTACTACAGCATAAAATGAAGAATTATAATTATCATGCATTTGTAATTATTTTGCTTCAGATCACTGAAGAAAAAAATCATTTCATTTACATAATCATGGAAACAATCAATACTGAATAACTTCTAGCTATGGAAACACCAGCAGCTGAAAAAAAAAAATAGACGGAGTACTAAACATTGTCCATTTTGTCCGTTCAGTATTCAGCTTGGACGATTTGCTAACAGTCTTAGCAGTTAATGCTTGTATCAACTTTATTAAAAAAATACTTCATCATATTCCCCCAGCCCTTTGGATTTGAGGTTGGTTTGTTTTTTTTGCACAAGCATGACAATCAACAACAACACAAGCTAAGGTGTAAATGGATATCTTTCAACCTAAAAGGCGGGCACTCCAAACTGGGTTCTTAGTATGCATTCGCATTCACTCCAGATCATATCAGACGGACCACATGTTCCAAATCGGATGCATTTGCAGGGCAAAAAAAACTGATGCTGGGGTCAGATGATACGATATCACTATGACATATTTCCCTATATCAGTATAGTGGAGAAAGCAGTATTTTGACAGTTGTGACATCAATTCATATATTTTAGAATAGATATTGTTCCTCTTGGATATATTCTTCTGTGTGAAAAAAATGATTTCGGTTTTCAAGACTTTTGAAATTTGCAGCCTTCTAAAATGCATAATTGCATCATTGGTATTGTTATGAAATCAATTTGTTCACAAAAGTGATTATTATTGTTTATTGATATTTTTTTAAAAGATTATTTCATTGTTTATTACCACCAGGATTTCAAATCTGTTGTACTTTATCCTAACCATGAGAACAGCTTTTCTAAAATAAAAGGTCTGGAAGCCACAATGCTATAACAGGTAAAAGCAAATACTATACAGTACATTTCCTGTCCTTTGTAATGCTGTTCTCTCACAATGCACAACTCACTTTGGAAAGGTTTTGCTCCAACGTATAACAACAATGCATACATTGCTATGCATTTTAGGTGTTGGAAAAGCTTCTGTCCTGCATGAGCTTTGTGCCAAGTGATGCTTCTAATTTGGTCAGCAGTTTGAATATCAATAATCCACAGAGACTTTCTCTCAGAAATGTTTGCATGAAGACTCAAAGCACACCTTTTGTAGAAGGAAGTAATTTATTTTCCATGCAGATACCTTTATCCAGGGTGACTTCTACTACATGTATAAAAAGTACTGATCCAAGTACAAAACATGCATGCAGTTACAGTAAAAACCATATACAAACAATTTAACAGAATAAAATGAACAACTTTCCAGTAGTAACTGGCATTCTTCAAGTGGCTGTAAATCCTAAGGAATTCCAGCATTCATTGTGTGTATTTTCTTATGCTCATAAGTATCATTCATATTACTTGACAGTTAATAGTGGGTGGTTGGTTCACTTTGGACTAGTTAGTAGGGTACCACCAGTACCTACACCACACCGCTGGCATGGTCTGCTATCAGCCCTTCACTGCTAAAACAGATCACTGGGTGGCACTTGCGTTGCATTAGATGTTACTGAAACAGTAGTGTCATTTAATCTGTTATATTTTATAACATTTCATATGTTAACAGGACTTAAACAGTAAATGTGATTATAAATAACTCTGCCCATGAGATGAGGGAGATCAAACAAACCGTACTCTGAAGGGACTAATTTGTTAAACAGGAGATCACTGTTTTAACCAGGTTTCCGTTAAGCACAGAAAGTCAGTTTTTTAAAATCTTTTTTACTGTGCACATAATTATATAAAATACATTTTAAAACTGCAGCTAGGCTCAGTAACGTAGCTGTGTGTTGTTTTATGTGTCTGAAAAAACAATTGCATGACATGAATAGAGCTCAGATCAGACCTCGGTTTTTTAATGTGCCTGGTTTCACTGAAATTCTCAGCCAACAAGGAATGGAGTGACTTATCTAAACAGTTTTATTGCAATCTGCCATTAAATTGTCATTTTAATTTGAATGATCATTTGCAAAACAGGAATTAATTGCATATAGATGAAGGCAGTCTGCTAAAACTGTAGTTGCTGTACATTACATGTACCTGTGGATATTCATGGAATTCTTTAAAACGTGGGAACATTGGAAAATGTATTTTTTATGTCCATGTATTCTGCTCAAGCACTGAATTAAGAACTAAAATAGATGCTGGGAAGAGAGAGACACTTCCTGTAAACAGATCATTTAAAATAAAAAAAGATATTTCAAAAATAAATTAATAAATGCTGCAAACTGGATTGATAAACATAGCAGAGGATGACTACTTGTTTCTGAGCTTTGTAAGAATCCACACTGAAGGCATCTACAATATAACAGTACCTCTCTAGGCTTAGAGAGTATTTAATTGATCTGTTTATACATATTTTATAGCTATATAGTTTATTTTAGTTTGAATTCAGAAGTATTTTCTCATGTTGTACAATATAACCAGCACAACATCCAAAACAGACATGTCTTTCACCTTTGTTCATTTATAAACTGTGAAGGAGGCAGATTTACAATTGGATCATTTCACCAAAAGATAAAACCACCAAGGGTCAGTCTGTTAATATATGCCCAAGAATGTGTTTCATCCATGTAATAAAGCAGACTGCAGAGCAACAAACAAAGTCACTTGAATTATGACCATACCTAAACAATTTGAAAGCGATCTCATCTGCTTTAAAAGGAATAGACACTTTAAAAAAATCACTCGGGTATTTACAATGTTGCAATTCTATGGTCCTCAGTAACACACAATATTAAGTATGTGGGACATATTTTGTACTGTGGGACAATATTGTATTGTGGTGTATATGTACACACATTTTCTATGGATGCTACAGAAGGCCTAACCAGCTATATCTAAAATAATCCTGCAGTACAAGACTGTACAGTATCAGTCTTAAAAACCACACATGCAGTAGTTTCCCGAGACACTAGTCCAGTACAGGCCTCCCACCCTGTCAACAGCAAAAGGTTCTGTAGACTGGAGGTCCAGATTACACCACAAGCTACTCTCAGGCACTAAGAATTCCCAACGATGACGTTTTAAACCTGATGGCAGTCATAAAGATCTTAAATAATAATCCTATATCAGGATTTCTCCTACTGTCCATACACTTACAGAGTCTTTTTTTGGCCACAAACTGTGCTTTCTTCCGGTGTCAAGATTGCTTTCTTCATGTGCACCTTTCAGTCAGGACATCTTCACACTGACTAGTGCAAGAGGGCGCAGAGGCACTGAGCATGTTACAGAAGTGACGTGACCCCCTGAAACCCAGACAGTGGAGAACTGTCCAGAGGCAGAAGGCCTGGAGGTCACTGCAGACGAGGGAGGAGCACTGTGTGCCCTGATCGAACCCAGACCAGTGCCGTGCAGAGCTGCACCCTTCACACACGCAGCAGGTGAGATCACACTTTCGAAAAAGGCATTCCAGCAGGAAAGAAACCCATTAAAAATGAAGTAACAGTCAACATGGTAGCTTCTTGTGCGTGTTCCTCTACTCTCCAAGGAACTTCCTAAAATAACAGCTCTCTCACTTGCGTGGGATATTTTTTTTCTAAACCCACAGTGCTAGCAGAACTGAAAATCGTTCCTGTTCAGTTGCAACGCATCATGTATAGAAAAAAATACACATTTCAAGAATTTCCTTGAGATATAAATGTGCTTAAAAGGCCCTTTATTAGATTTGATACATCAACCACAAATTTCCGTATTTAGAAGTGAAGACAGGAACTTCAGGGCTTCCTGTTTCGTATTTCAGAAGGGCGTCAGACATTCCCTTTCCACTACCTAACAATCATTCACATCAAAATACGACGACATTCAACCACAACACAACTACGTTCTCAGTTGTGCATTGGCTACACAGCTTTTGCACTTTCAGAAAGATAAAACTCAAAACTACCCGACAGTAGTAGTAGTAGTTTGCTGGGACACTTGCATCAGCTATTTGAATAAGACGACGACCACGTCTGTCTAACAAGGCAGGACTGACCCGTGGATTTGGATCAGGAAAGTTTCAGAATTTCAATTCCAGCATATTTCAATACCCGATATGAGCCTTGTTCAAGTCGTCTGAAAGTCAAGAGATTTTTGTGTCACTAAATTCAGGACACGTCAGTAATCAGCACTACCCTGTGCAGCCACTATTCAAGCTCCCTTTTGCTTAATGAAATAATTGTGAAAGGAACCTGAAAG